GAATGACTTCTATAACAGCTTAATGTTTGTATCATAATCTAAGTTTGTAAAATCTGAGTGGGAGAGGGAGCCTTTTTGTGGAGTTGGTTTCGTATTTGTATGGCCCACGCGGCCCGGCTTCCCCTATTTGGTTATGTGGGGCTTTTACTCTCGCTTTGTTTGGGAAAGTGGGATGGGGGGTGGGGGGGAATTTGTTGTCGGTTTTTTATGTTTAAAAAAATATTCTATGTGTTTCAATACTTGGTCAGGCTAACTCATGAGTGCACTGAAGACATTCTATTAAAAAATCTCTGTGCATCATAACACATCTTCGCAAGGCGGTGGCATAACTTTTACCAGCTGGAATGTTAGGGGCTTGGGGCATGTCTTAAAAAGGGCTAAAGTATTCTCTCATTTAAAGAGCTTATCGGCGGACATTATATACCTTCAAGAAACACACATAAGGCCAGGGAGGGAGGGGTTACTGAGATGCAGTTGGGCAAACCAAGTTTTTCAGTCCACCTTTTCAGGTAAAGCTCGTGGGGTGGCAATTCTGATACGCAGGACAGTTCCATTCAGACACATCTCTACTGTGACTGACCCAAATGGCAGATTTATATTGGTAACGGGCTATCTATATTCCTTTCATGTCACGCTTCTTAATGTATATGGCCCTAACTTCGACGACCCAGGCTTCTTTAGGAAAATATTCAACCTGGTCCCGGACCTGGCTGACACATGCCTAATTTTGGGAGGGGATTTCAATTGCGTGCTTGACACCCATTTGGATAGATCAGCCCGAACGAGACAACCACCCTCCTCCTCCTCTGTGGTTTTGAACAACCTCATGACAACAACAGATTTGGTTGATGCTTGGAGACTGCAGCATCCGGTGGACAGGGACTATTCCTTTTTCTCAAATGTGCATAAATCCTATTCAAGAATAGACTATTTTCTGTTGGATGCTAAACTAATACCTAATGTGATATCCTCCAAATACCATACGCTTCTAATCTCTGATCACTCTCCAATCTCACTGACTCTCGATCTTAACCATAGGAAACAACAATATTTCTGGCGTTTCCACCAATCCCTTCTATCAGAGGAGACATTCTGTAAATTCCTAGATGATAAAATTTCTGACTTTATAGATACTAACGATACAAAAGATGTTACAGACTCTACACTATGGGAAACTTTCAAAGTTGTGATCAGGGGTCATATTATTTCTTTTGAAAAGTTCCTGAAAAACAAAAAACGGAAACGCCTCTCAGAAATTGAGACTGAATTAGCACGCTTAGAATCTAATTACAAGTCCTCTTCCAATCCTTCGACTTTAGAAAACATCCTTGTCTTAAAATATGAATATAATACTATCTTGTCCAGGCGGGTGCTCGATCAGATGTTTAAAATTAAGCAGAAACACTTTGAGCTGAGTGATAAACCCCATAAACTGTTGGCTCGTCAGCTGCGGGGCTTGCAGGCCAACAGGGCAATACATAAAATTAAATCCAAGACAGGAAAAATTGTAATTGAACCAAGAAAAATAAACGATTCATTTAAGGAATATTATGAGCAACTATACAGGTCTAAAGCAAAAGGAAATATCTCAAGCTGGCTTAAAGATCTGAACCTCCCAAAGATGAGTGAAGTCGCGCGAGAGGCGCTCAATGCAGACATTACTGTGGAAGAGATTGTTGATGTAATCAAATCACTTCCCAATGCCAAGGCCCCAGGACCAGATGGTTTCGGAACTGAGCTCTATAAGAGATATGCCCAGAAGATTGCTCCCCTCCTCCAGAGGATGTTCGTTCACTCTCTTGATTCAGGGAAATTTCCCCCCACTATGTATGAAGCTAATATCACATTAATACATAAAGAAGGTAGGGAGGAGACAGAGCCCTCATCATATCGCCCTATCTCACTATTGAACTCCGACATTAAAATATTTGCTAAAGTACTGGCAAATAGGCTAGATAAACATATTTCCTCTATTGTCCATCCGGACCAAACGGGCTTCATCCCTAAAAGGTTTTCATTCTTTAATATCAGGCGGTTAATGAACATTATGTATCACAAATTTGACAGTAGGTTTAAGGGAGCTGCTATTTGCCTGGATGCTGAAAAGGCGTTTGACCAACTGGAGTGGCCTTACATTTTGACTGTACTTGAGGAATTTGGGTTTGGTAGTAAATTTGTGTCGTGGATTAAAACAATGTATGCTCAACCCTCTGCCTCTGTCCTCACAAACCAGGACAAGTCAGAGCCCTTCCTCCTGCATCGAGGAACCCGTCAGGGTTGCCCCCTTAGCCCTCTACTTTTCGTGGTTGCTATGGAACCCCTCGCCATTAGTATTAGGAAACATTCCCTAATCAAACCAATTCAGCTGGGAAACATTGACCATCACATTTCATTATATGCTGATGATGTTGTTGTTTTTGTATCACAGCCTGAGAAATCAGTACCAATTCTCCTAGACCTCATTCAATCATTTGGCGAGATTTCAGGTTACACTATTAACTGGCAGAAGAGTGAATTTATGCCACTAGGTGTTAGACTCACTCCTGAATTCTTAGATAACCTCTTGTTTAAGATAACTGACAAACTGAAATATCTTGGAGTTATTCTGCCTAAAGACCCTAAACAAATCTTCAAGTTGAACTTTTTAGAAAAAGTGGATAACCTTAGGAAAGATATTGATAGATGGAGAACACTCCCACTCTCAATGATGGGCCGCATCAATGCTATTAAGATGGTGTCCTTGCCTAAATTTTTATATCTTTTCCAGGGTCTGCCTATTTTCATAACGAAGGCCTTTTTTAAATCTCTGGACTCAATAATCTTGCCCTTTGTCTGGGGCTTTAAAGCTCATAGAATATCAAAAACTCACTTACACAAACCGAGAAGGATGGGGGGGTTGGGATTGCCCTGCTTCCAGCACTACTATTGGGCAGCGAATGCAAGGGCCCTGATGTATTGGCAGGAAGATGATACTCAGGAACTTCCTGCAAACTCTCCCCCCTGGGTGGCTATTGAAAGATCTAGTGTTACAAATAGCTCTCTCTCGGCACTTCTTTTCTCGACGCCAACATCTCCAACAAATAATGGAATAAATAATATGGTTGTTTTAAATTGTTTGAAAATATGGAAACAAATTAAGATATACTGCAACCTACCAGAGACCTCAGTTCATGCCCCAATGTACCGTAATCATGCTTTTCCCCCATCGCTGTCGGATGTATCATTTAAAAATTGGAGACTAAAAGGCCTAATTACGCTGAAAAATTTGTATATTAACAAAAAGTTCGCCTCATTTGCAATGCTGAAGAGCTGTTTTTCTCTTCCGGATGCGGATTTTTTTAGATACCTGCAAATTAGAAATTATGTTCGAACTAACATCCCGAATTTTGTATCTCTCCCGGAAGAAAATAAGATCTGTAAAATACTGTTGGCTCCCCAGAATCAAAAAAAATAATTTCAAGCTTTGTTGACATCTTTGCAGAGCAAATCAATTTTACTACAGACTCCTTGAGGGCTGCATGGGAGGAGGAGCTGGGATTGCAGGTTGGGAGTGAGGTCTGGGAAAAGGGTCTTGGGAGGATCCGGTCATGTTCTATCAACGTACGACATCAGCTAATTCAGTTCAAGGTGTTTCATAGACTCCACTACTCTAAAATGAAATTGCACAGAATATTCCCCTCAATATCTCCAAAATGTGATAGATGTAGGTCCGCTGATGGCTCCCTGGCACATCTGTTCTGGTCATGTCCTGGGCTCCTGCAATATTGGTGTGATATTTTTAATTTGTTTTCTGAAGTGTATGGATGCTCGTTGGTTCCAGATGCCCAGATTGCATTGTTTGGATATTCTCCCTCACTCAAGAACTGCGGCATCTCTATGCAAACGACTGTGATGTATGGAATGGTAACGGCTAAGAAAGTAATATTAGGATTGTGGAAAACCGACAAGATTCCTCAGTTTAAAGTGTGGTTAAGTGATTTTACTGGGATTCTCCATTTGGAGAAATTACGGTATGATGCTTTAGGCTCCACTAATAAGTTCTGTCGCATTTGGCAGCCGTTCCTGGACCATCTTTCTCGATCTCAGTGACCCCCAACTCGCTCAGTCCCTCAATATGCCACCTGTGCCTCTATAGACTGGTTGTAACACCCGGAAGTGTAAATGGTAATCAGTGCACTGTATCCAGTTATCTAGATAATTGTCTCGACCTGTTCGCATCTTAATTTATTTTACTTTTGGTTATTGTATGTTTTTATTTGTACTGTTTTGTTGGTAAGAGTATATCTCTCTCACATAGTAATCTGTTAAATGTGTGTGTGCTTCATACACTTGTGCATGGTTTCTGTATGTTGTATTTTGAAAACTCAATAAACATATATATATTAAAATTTAAAATTACATTAGACAGACCAGATATATATGGAAATTTTGGTACTCTAAAGAACAAAATGATAATATTTCATAGGACATAACTAATAACAAAACCAGGAAAATAAACATTTTTCCAAATCAATTTCTTTCAGTGTAAAACTTATGAAACTAACAAAAACTGCAGGTGTTTTTGTTAGTGAATTTTTGGTCCAAACATGTTTGTTTTTTATTTCGTGGAGTTACTCACAGTGGGTAGCGCATCCAGAAAATCTACTCAAGTAAGAGTATTGATACTTCAAAATAAAATTACTCAAGTAAAAAGCACGGCCAAGTAAAAATGCTCCTAAAAGTAATCTTTTTCCAAAACGTTACTCAAGTAGATATAAGTAAGTAAACGTACAGTTATAAGGTAAAATTTGTAAAGTTTTTTAATTAGTTCATGTAATGCAGGATCAACTGTGAGTGTGTGCCATAATCCAGCACAAAGACAACAAAGCTGATGGTTAGCATGTATGAAAGAGGGGGTCAAAGTGTTCAAACAGAAGAAAACAAAAAGGTGATAATTACATTAAAGACATTACACAAGATGTCTTACTCTCTTGTCTGTTGCTTTGTTTGTCTTTCTGCAGACGAGACGCCAAATGGCCAGCCAGAAGGTGAGTGCACATCTTATCTCACGGTCACCTCACAGACTAGCAAGCAGATTAGAGCTTCCAAAGAGCATTTTCTACCAGAAATCTTCCACAGTTTGGTTCAAAAATTAATAACTAACAAATGAAAAGCAAGATCAAAATCAATACATTTATAGAGACTTTCTGTTCAAATTTGCACGTCAAACAAGCCAGCACAGACCTGCATGAGCGCAGGGCAGAAAGAAATGCATCTTGACAATAAAAAGTGGTGTAAAAGTGGCGACACAGACACATGGGAGTGTAAATGTGGAGCCAATACACAGCAGTATGGATGTGTTGCTGCTCTCTGGACTTATCTGTGACGAGGCTGTCAACATCTCATGCATTCCTCTCCCACACCAGCTGATCCCCCGTTGTTGTTTCAGCTGACGGCCCTGCCATCCCATGTGAGCAAGTTGCTGGCATCTAACAGGCTTTTAGCGGGGACTGAGGGTTTGACCTTGGAGCCAGAGCATCTTGGGGCTCCAACATGGTCGAGGGGGCAAGAGCTCAACTTTTTAACTAAAAATAAACCGTTCAGATAAATAATTCTGTCCACGAGCTCGTAGCTCAACACTATAAAAAAACTTGATGCGTTTATAGATGCAGAGCGCTTTTAGTTAGCCCTGTCATGATAAATTTGGTGGACAATAAATTGTTATCGTGATAAATGATAGTATTATTTTGAAACCATATTCCTGTAATGGAATAATAATGCAAAACCACATTCTCAAAAAGCAACAAACTTTAAACTCAAACAAATATTTAACACCTAAACTGGAAGACATTTAAACACCCAAAATAACCAAACAAAAACAACAAATAAAATTAATTTATAAATAAAATTGACCGTCACAAAATTGGCTAGGTGAGGTAAAAACACCAGACTGAAGATGAACAGACAAGAGATAAATCATGCAAATTTAAGTTACTGAGCTCATTTTAATTTAAATGATTAAATGATGTATTGCTTATTTTGACAGCCCTACTAATCCATCTTTATATTTTTCACATTTTATTATATTGCAACCTCCAGCTGCGATATATTTTATTTAGATTGTGTGATCAACTCAAAGAAGTGGAAAATTGTGAAGTGGAAGAAAACATTTTACAAAATAATAATAAAAAAATCTATATAGCATGCATTTGTTTTCAGTTCCACGCTACAATTACAGCTACATTCTGAGTGCGACACACAAATGATACTTTTAAAATAATTCTTATGAAGCTTATGATTAGAAATAAAAATCTAACCACTTTATGAGGTTCTTACTTTCACAAACTTTGGTAAAAGATGCCTTCCTCCAAACTGTTTGGTGACATGATGGGAGGGATTTTACTGTTTCCTAGCAATAAGTGGTTGTTCAATTCACTCCATGTCTGCTATGCATTAAGCTAAGAACTTTAAAGAGTAAAATCTGTTGAGGTGAAGGGTGTGTGGCTTTGTTCAGGTAAGTGGGTAACCTGCGTGAGTGTGTGAATGAGTGCAGATGTTGAAGCTTTGTGCTCATTTAAAGCATTTGCTCCATCCACCAATATATTTGTCACATGCTCAGAAAGTGTTGCCCCAGACAGTAATGGTGCCCCAACCCTGCCTGAGATTTCCCTGGAGGTTTCTCCCCCACCAGGTGGGTAATGTTGCCACTTCATCGTTTATGTCACGCCCCGACACTGTGGCACCTCTTGCACATCCCACTTACATCACGTTTTTGTGTTGTGTGCCATCACTGTTTTTTGTTCTTAATTCACTTAAGGAGGCTTGAAGCTGCACTTTTCTTGCACTGTATGTTCACACAAAACCTTGGTTTAGGTAGCTTAGAGCAATAAAGTCAAGGTGCATATGCTCCTCTAACTGGATTATGATGCTGCTACTAATTCAAGCTGTGGCTGTATCTTTGTTGGTGACATTATATGTCAGGTAGAGTCATCAAACAGGAGGTGTGAAAAGGGATTTGGCTCTGGTAAATTAACTGTTCAAATTAAATTTTACAAGCAATCAGATCATACATGAAGCAAATCCCTGCCTCCTTGATCACTCTACAGTATAGCTATGCAAAGACCAGATGGATAAAGCTTTGAATTTGGAAATTTCTACATTAGTCAGATGTTATTGGCAAATATTAGCATGCTAAAACAGTTTAAAGGTGATCTATTATGCTTCCTTGGACAGGTTAGGATAGGTATATGGGCAATACAAGACATGTTTATTAATTTTTTTGTACAAAAATCATTCAGACAATGAGATTTTAGTCTGATCAGTTTTTCCTATTTTGAGCTCCTTTTAGTATGATATGTTTTAGGGCGTCTTGTCACTTTAAATCCAAATAAGCTGCTGCTGGTCTCACTCACCGAACTCAATGTTTACACTCTCAAGTGAAAATAGCAGCAAACAGACGTGCAATTATACAACCACTTCTTTGAAAAGCAGAAGTGGAGCCTCTTTGCACAACCAACAACAATGCACCAAGTGGATTCTCCATGGCAAGTCGACAAAAAACAATGATCTTGTCCAGCAGCCACAGTACAGCCCATACAGCTGACCAAATGTGCCAGAGCTCGGCTGGGATTCGCTAGGTTGCTAGGTGAGGTGCAGTGCCTGCTGATTTGTGACGTTACATTTTGAAGGTTTTCCAGACACCATAAAAACCTTAACTTACTGTCAAAATATGGCTGGCAATGATGTACAGTCAGGGGAGGCATCATGGAAAAATAATGATAAAATAATTTATACTGCTATTTTCACCCCGTGGTTTATACTATAAAGTATCTCCATATCCAAGTTTGATTGAGGTAATGGAATTGTTAAAGAATAGTTTTTTTTTGCCCTCCGGCGTTGTCCGCATGTGAGAAGTTTCCTAATGTAAACAATAACATGCAGGGGGTCTATATTTGTAAATCTGATTATGATTAAGTCAGTGCCTCACCAGCAATGAACCTCACCGCACGTCACTGATTGCTGGGCATATTTTTTAAGCTGTTTCTAGAAGAAGTGGAAACCAAAATGGAAGTAGAGAAACACCCAAAATATGAATTTTGCTCAATAGGTCCCCTTTTAAGGTCAAAAAGCAAAGGCGAGGTTTCATCCATCTGGTCTTTGCCTGAACAAGTGCCGCCTTGTCAGGCAGCCAGTGTTTGTGCTCTGTGCTTGCTGCTCCAGCCTGGCGCTTTGTCTGCTATACAGAGTCGGTAGCAGAGGGGAAAGAGCCAGTAGAGACTGATGGGAAGAGACCAGAGCCCACTGGGCCTGAGCCATTACAGGCTGTGGTGGCTCAGGAGCAGAACCCCGTCGAGAACGGTTCAAACCAACAGGAGCCTAGTAGGGTTGGGGTGAATGAGCAAGCAGAGTCCTCTAGTCCTGCTGTAAAGGAGGGCACTTGCTCTCCCCCTCCGACTGGTGAGTATGCTGCTTTAAAAATGTGACTCATTCCCATGTCTCTATCTCAGTGAAAGTGCATGAGGTCTACAGAGCAAAAGCTACTAAAATTGGATGTGATCCTTACGAATGCAAACGCCAATAACCAAGCAGCTGAGCTTTTTAAAAAGACTTTATATAACCCTTTATTTTCACTTGGGTTAGAAGTTTTTTAGCTCCTACAATATAAACAGATGTAATTTGTGTGAAAGGTAAGTAATCAAAAAGGAACCTCCTCATTCTCCATAAGAAAAACAAAAACATTAAAGTAAAAACATGGATTTAACTTGTTAAATCCATGTAACTATTTCTTACAATATATTGTTCTTATTATGCTTTAAACAAAAAGACAAAATGTGATGAGTGCCTTTAAATACTGAACTAATTATGTTTCTCTTTTTGAAAGTTGTGGGAAAAGTTCAAATTATCTTGAGTTGCTTTGCATTGAGAATATTTTTACATTTTGGCATTTTAAAAACAGACTGAACTCAGCATACAGCTGTATACATTAGCATTATCCTGCTACTTCATGGTGTGGTGCTTTACTGTCTATTTTGAGTGATGTACGATGAAACGTATGTGTTTTGTTACATCTTGTGAGAAATTCAGTCTGGACTTTGAAAAAACATGAAAAATGAATGTTGAAATTTTGAACATCGCTGCCAAAATGGTAAGGTTTACATACGAACAAACAAATAAAAGGAGAAAACGAATGAATAAATGATTATTGAACGCGCTACCAAGAACTCATTAAATCCACTGACAAATATAAAATGGAAACTTCTCTTAAATATAAAACAAATTTAAGAGATCCAGTAGCAATCACTTGAATAAATTAAACAAACAGGGAGTAATGTAATGCTGCCTCAAACCCAATGCAGTTTTAAAAGATTGCTACAAAATAAATGGTTCTGAGTCTGTTTTAAATGTTCCTTACAAATACACCATTTACACTAAAAAGGATGACGTGTTTTATTATTAGAATACCTTCGATGATTCGATGGTAACTGTGTTTTTCCCCACAGAAGATGGCAGTACAGTGAAGAAACTCTCAATTGACCTGCCTAGTAAGATCCTTTGGTTAAAACTCAGCATCGTTTCAGTCCCTCCTACCAAACTAGTGTACTCTAATTAAACATGACTAAATGCAGGAAACATGGGTGAGACGTTTGATTTTGGAGATTTTGTGTTTTTTTAAAAACTATACAAACGTCTTCTTGCTAACAAATTAATACAAACTGAAGTGTCCTTCAAAATGTCAATAAACAAGTGACAATTTGTGCATTCAAATTCTAAGCAGATTAAGTTTTAATAGGAAAATTCTGGTTGATATGACAAAGTAGCTGGAATCCTGGTAATAATATTTATTTTACTTTAGGAATCTTTTCATCCCCATGTGCACGTCTAACTGCTTGTACGTCTCAGATTTCATGACTGCTTGCTTGCTTCAGAGACTTTACATAACTTTTTCTTACAATATATTGCAAATTTCTCTTCTTTTTGTTTAGATGATAGTGACCCTGTGGCAACCACGGGCAGAAAAGACTCAGGTAATTCGTACTTCCAAGTAGTGACAAGTACAAAGAAACAAAAGAAATCTGTTTCTTTTGTACGAGAAGTAGAAACAGCTGTCCCTTCACGGCCCTTTCTGATAAAACAAGGACGTTAAAAACATTTTTGGCAATGCATAATACAGTTAGTACTTTCCTCAAATCTGCAGAATACGTTATACTTTTTGAGAGCTTACAGGGTACTTTCTGGAAATTATGGTGCAGCTTTAGCAGCATTCTTGAACTTGCAAGTTACAACTGACAATACCGCAATTAAAAAGTTAACCTATCTGTTTCAGGTATTTGCTGTAATACAAATCGCTGCAGGAGATATTTACTGCCAACAGTCATCACTCATCTACAATAACTCTTTCAAGAGTTTGAATTAATATGAGTTACAGCAATGTCTAATTTCCCTTTGAGACCAATAAAGTATTTTTGAATTTGAATCAGTACAGTTCATTCCTAAAAGTACTCAGGTAAGCAACCTGTAATTTTTGGAAAGTAACCAATAAGATAATGAAGGTACCTGGTTGCAAAGCACCTTAGCCTGGTCTTTGAAAATACCCTTTAGAAAGTACTTTCAAGTCAACCAGATTCTTGAAAGTACCCTGTAAATGTACTAGATATCTCATAATACAGTAATGAGGTTCCACAAAGTACCATGTAAGTTGTGGAAAAAAGTAGTCATTAGATTGTAAGTTTCAGGTGAGCAACTTGTAGAAGTACTTCGTAAGTTTGAAAAAGTACTGCCTGTATTATTATTAGTCACAAATGGCGGCGCTTCTCATCTCTACATTAGCTGTTAAGAAATAAGCTAATCAGTATTAGGATGGTAGAAATAGGTTAAAATAGTTTTAATGCTTTTCATGTTGCAAAAAACTAACATTTTTGCTGCTGTATGAGGTGTGAATGTTGAATGTATGGGAAATTGTCTCACTGTTGTGTTTTAGTTGTTTCTTTTATAATTGAAAGACTTTGTTCATACAAAGCTTCCACAAACAACAGGTGGGTTTTGAGATTTTTGACTGTTATTCTTTTGAAGGAACAGAACAATTCTGAGTTATGAATTTGTTTCTGCTTATTGGTCAGTGTGGTCTCTGGGAGAGGGTCAGGCCCCAGAGGATGTGGACAAACCAATCGACAATCCACCGTTGTCTACGCTGCTGATCGAGAGGCCACAGAGTGGAACCGTCACTGTGGGTGAGTGTTAAAAAAAACCCAGACTGGAATTCTTAACAAGAAATACAAAACATAGGAGATTCGTTGGACAACACCAATGTAGTTCCATTCTGGTAATTCCCAGATGAAATTGTATTATTCTGAGGATGAGGCAAGAAGGCCATTAAATTAGGCAGATTTTCAGAATGCATCAACATCAGTCCTGAATATGTCACTTTAATCGAACTGTAATCGAACGTCTGGTTCATTTTGAACTCGACTGAACCTAAAATCTAATTCTTTGTTTAATTAAAGTGAACTTTGGAGAAATTCAAATCCACTTGGATGCAAGTGGACCAGAAACGGCTTCAAAAGCAGGAAGCGGACTACAGTGCAGGGCATATACAAAATAAATGCAGGAGTCTAACGTTGGAGAGAGAAATGCTGTTTTACCAAAGACAAACGAATAATTCTACAACAGCCCCTACATTTTTGTTTATATTGTGTGAAGAAAGAAGTTGCACTCAGTGTTTCCTCCAGTGGCTCTAGTTGCAGCGCCACCACAGGTTGAAGTGGGAACAGGTTTTTCAGTAAGTTTGGATTATTTAATACAATGTCGTGTGGGCGCAAAGTTTACTTCATTATCAGGTGTGAAAACACCCTTAAATACTGACCAGCGTCCAATATTTTCCAAATACTGGCCAAAATCCCAGCAGATTCTAAGGACAGTCAGGATGGCATCAGTTTTTATGTTCTGCTAGAGAAAATGAGAATCTTTCAGAGTCTGAAGTGTAGTGAACAATAAAACAGGTGATCAAGGCATTGTGCAAGAATATTTGTTCACTTAAATTGTCTCCACCACCAGGTCAATAGAGGCACTGAAGGACAAAGAAGCTAATATTTCTATCAGGTTGTTTCAGGATACCGGTACATAAGTGCTTGTATGTCATTGTTGAGTAAATACAAATAGAGCCAATTCTGGAACAGCATTAATTCTCTGCTATAAATTTTAACTATCAGCACAGGCCCAAGAAAAATCCATCATAATACTATAAGTGGACGTTTAAGGTTTCTAGTCAGTTGTGATAAATATACTTAAACAGAAGCAAAATCTTAAAGATAAGTGTTTAAGTTAATTTATTTTAGTATTTGATAACTTGTTCATAGAAGATATTAAGCTAAAAATGTCCTTCAGTCGCTGGTTTTCAAGGCATCTGGAAAACTATATCAACTATGTTGATATTTGGTGAACAAAATCGGATCTCAGCCCCAAATGGCATCCATCCTACTTTGGATGGAGCAGCTCTTGTTTCTATGAAGTTCAATGAAATTATTATTCCTTCAAAACAGCAACAACAAATGATCCAGACCAGGAAGTAGCTTATACACCTCTATTCTGTAGAGAAGCCAGTTAAACAGCATCTTGGACTTGGCCTAAATTAAATTAAAAACAGACTAAAAATCAGTAGACAAGGTAAACAAGGAAAGGGCTGGATATGAAAGCAAATTCCTAGATCGGTCTTTAGAATAAAAAACAATGCATCATTCACTCAGTCACTCTTTAGAAATAGTCAATTTCCTTTTAATGTGTTTCAGGGGGTGACATCACTTTTGTTGCCAAGGTGGAAGCTAAAGATCTTCTCCGCAAACCGACTGTTAAATGGTTTAAAGGGAAATGGATGGACCTAGCCAGCAAGACAGGGAAACACCTGCAACTTAAAGAGACATTTGAGCGGCAAACCAAGGTAACATATCTATACTCATACATCCAAGTTCTCTAAAAATAGTGCTGTTTATAAACCCTGGTACATCGCTCTGTTGGCAGATCCACACCTTTGAGATGCACATCATCAAGGCCAAAGACAACTATGCCGGAAACTACAGATGTGAGGTGACCTACAAGGACAAGTTTGACAGCTGTTCCTTTGATTTGGAAGTTAAAGGTTGGTCACAACAATAAAAAATGTTAAAATTGCTTTGAACTGATCACATAAATTCCTAGTGGAAATAATCATGCAATTATATGCATGTTTTTTCTGTCCTACAGAAGTTGAAAGCTCACAGGCTATTGATATTCGATCAGCATTCAAAAGAAGGTAATAAAAAATAACCCATGAGACGTCAGAAAGAACAGTATACATATAGAGGCAAACTGTTTTAAGATATCTCATGATTTAATAAAGTCTCTAAATTCCTCATTATGCTGGAATTCAATTATTAAAAAAAAGGATTTTACATTGTGAAGCAGTGGTGAACATTTCTCCATTGGGTAATACAACTAAATGCAAAGATATTTGTAATGTCATTAACCTTTCCTCCAGGTAATTACAAGTCAATTACTTGATTGAATGTGTAACTGAAGGCCAACTCTTGCACTTTAAATCTCAGTTTGAACAATGCAGAGCAATGCAAAGCATCCCAGATCCACTGCATTACTACAATGCTGCTATTCAGTAATGTTGCTTCAACATTTCAGAAACATTGTGGCAATTCTGGCTGGGACTGTTCTTGATGAGTGCTACACAAACAACCTTATTTTGAGTTTTTACCCACACAAAGACCAAATAAAGGTTTCTCTGTAAGCACAAATCATGAGTTAACTTGACGCTAACTCACTGATCGGCAGAGCTTTTGCTTTGTGTTGCTCTTATAGCATTGTTTTCTTGGTAACAACTGCAAGTCTAATTTAATGTTCCATAATTTCTCCTTGTTAACAACAGCAGTGAAGGACAAGAAGATGCAGGAGAGCTTGACTTTAGTGGTCTCCTTAAACATAGGTGAGAAACACATCCTGACCCTGAGTTTGTCCTTCTCACATTTTTTTTGGATGTGCTTCTTTTTCTTTCATTTCACATCTTTTGTAAATATTGTATGAGGCTTTTGTATAGCAGGAAGTTAAATTAGGTTTTTTTTAACCACTTAAACTAGCCATTACCAGTGTTAGATGAAGAGGTTGAGAATTACACAGTTCTAAATGTCAAAGCCCAAAAAATTTTTTCTATATCTCTTCTGTCAGGCAGTTATATTTCATCAAAATGTGTCAAAAATTTTGATAAATATAACTGTTTACTCCAGCAATGACATTAAATTTTTGTTTTAAAAATGTACACAAACAAAACAAGTTAATCCTACTGTAGCATGAGTTTTAAAGGTGCAATGTGTAAAAGCTGTTTAAGTATAAAATCTTGGTGCAAATTCTAATCTATATTTTGACAGTAAAATCAACTTAAAAGCTAAAAAAGGAGGAAAGAAATTAAACTTGCTAGCATAACACCAAACATGCTGTTCTGCTGCTTCTGGTTCCATTCTGAGAATTAATTCTGCAACACGGGCAGAATTAGGTGCTTCTCTGTCCATTAGCAATACAAAACTAGTTCATAGTTTGCTAACCATTTGTAAAAGGCTCCATTATAAATAAAATTTGTTTCATCTTGCTCAGTTTATTGGTGTGCTCACAGAGGATGTATTTGCTGTTTTGGACCAGAAATATTTCCAGTAGAAGATTCTGGTTTACTGCTTTTAAAGTTCAAAAGCAGTAAATGTTAAAGGCTTGCTAAAAAACAAAGACAGATTTTTTTAAGCTGAACAAGATTCTGTTTCCTCACATTTTGTACAACTGTGACAATTTGTCTTAATTGGAAATTTAAGACAAACATACACACTGCACCTTTAAATAAAACACAGATATTAAAACAGCTTTATCATACCATCAAAGTAAGATTTGATTTAAATAGATGTGATGAAGCACTATAGTCAACTTGCTGTTGCAGCTCATAATAAACTTCATGTTGCATAGTAGAGATACTGTGCAGGATTAAAATTATGAGCACAGTATCACTGTTTATGAGATAAAATACACATTTATTTTGGGCCTGTCTCTTCTTCTCCCCTACATATTCAGAAATCAAAGGTTAGTAAGGTGAAAGATATTGGTAATAAAACAATTAGACCTTACTGCAGGTGAGTACTGTAATCCTGTAGATTCCCCAGCATGACATGTAGCTCCAGGAATTGGACGAGCAAGAGTGTTGGCCTCCTGTAGCATGGTAACACTTTATTTTGAAAGCAGCATTTCTATCTGCTCACTCAGAAGTCAGTAATGATAGAGATGGGTCTTGCATCAACTAACTGTATGAAGCACAGAGTGCCATTTTGGATCATTACTGATGTGGGCCATTGAGAAATGATGCTGTAAAATAGTGTTATCACTACGCATCTGTTTCAGTTTAGAAATGTAAGGTTATGCCATCATGTTTATTTCAGTTTTCTTTATAACTGACTGCAAATAAACAGATGGGAAAAGCAAGAAATAATTTAATAGTAATTCATGATTTTTTTTCTTAAATTCAACCTTTCTGACATTTGGGGAAATGTCATAGAAAGAAAGGTCTGACTGATGGTTCTTTGTTTGATCTAATATGTACACTCATCTCCTGTCCTAAGGAAAAATGCAACATTTAACGGTGTAAGAGCATTTCTGAAGTGATCACTCAAAATGGAGAATAACAAAGGGATGGGCTATTTACAGGAGCAGTTCTTAAATTCCTGCATGCTGCATGTAATTAAACACATTTATCCTTGTAGGGTTTGATACCTCATTTTGCTAAAAATTTCCCATTGAAAACGTCATTAATCTCTGACGGATCACTTGTAATTTTTCCCTTATAATTGTTCCACCCATAATTTAAACTGTACACCAGAATTCCTGTTTAACATACCTGTAATATTTACCCTCCATCCCTTCGTTCATCCAACAAATGCAACTCTCAAACTAAAATATTAGAGTAGTTACGAACAGATTATTTTATAAGACTGAGGGACATTGCTTATTGAGCCAGTGGTTATCTCGTTCATGAATTGGTGCGCTTGAACTGATAACAAAGCAAGAAAAATATGTTGAACTGAAAAAAGGGACAAACAATTATGAAATCAGAATACTGGGATAGAGATTGGATCTTATAAGGAAATGAACAAAATATATTTCAACTAATGTGATACAGCAGCTTTCAGTGAGAATGTCAATAATACTTAATAAAATTAAAGTTTCTTACATCATACACAGTGGGTATTTTTTGGTGTAGGTCTTGCTCATTTCAGCAAGACAATGCCAAATGTGTCAATCAGATTACAGCACAATTATTTGGGATAGGTGATAGTTTTATTTAATTATTTTCCCTTTAATTCCCAAAAGACTTACAGCAGTAAAAATAATAAATTCAAGTGTTTTATTATTGTTAAAATAAAAGTATATTCAATTCAAAGCGTTATGAAGCCACAAAGTGATATTTTAACAAGAAAATATGCTTGTGTTTTTCAGATTGCTTGCTTGTGCTACTGGTATTTTATTTCATGTAATAATGAAATAAAATAGCAAAAAACGGAAAAGGCCTGAACCTGTGGTGCAGATGATGCATGGGAAATAAATATTTTGTCCCAAAACAGAAAAGTTGTAAGTTCTGTTTTAAGAAGTAGACTCCTGAGGGACAGACCCATGGAAAAATCATCCAAACCCTATTAACTCTCTACTTCCCTAAAACAAAACCTTCCGTTTTTTTATCCACCTTTTTATCGTTAACATGTGAGATCAGATCCAAAGTCAACACAAAGAGAGTTACGTATTATGCCCATTCCTTTGGGAGACATGTCCTGAGGAACTTGTGAAAGAAAATAGTTAAGAAATATAAGAATTACAGTAAAATGATTACATTAACTCCTATTACCTTTCTTTAAGGTAAATAGTAATCCCTCAGGACATGTTGAAAAGCCTAGAGTATGGTGCGTGTATTCATATTTTTACCTTGTACATGGCAAAACTAGGGAGCACAAACAGCAAGATGACACCCCAGAAGTGGACGTGTGGGAGATCCTGAAGAACGCCAGGCCAGACCAATATGAGAAAATCGCCTTCATGTACGGCATCACCGACCTCAGGGGTCTCCTGAAAAGAATGAAAAAGATGCCCAAAGAGGAGAAGAAGAGTGCAGGTAGATGTGTTTCTGAATATTTTATGCAAACAAATTGAAAATGAATTTCACTGATTACTGCTGTGATTTTAAGCCTTTGCAAAGAAGTTGGATCCAGCATACCAGGTGGATAAAGGTGGAAAGATCCGCTTGATAGTTGAGCTGGCAGACCCCACAGTGGATCTAAAGTGGTACAAGAATGGACAGGAAATCAGGCCAACTCCAAAGTAGGTGACAATACTATGCTTGTGTTCAGCTTCCTTGACATTTTGGATTCATAACTGTTCAAATAAAAGGCATTTTCAATACAAATTAAAATGCTTTTAATTTGTTGCAATGCATTTTTTAGAAATTTATTGTACATTTTCATTTTGTCACCTCTATAAAGTACAATGGTTCACATTATTTTATTCCTTACATTTATATGGAAAATAAATAGTATTTGTATGAATTCAAATAATATATTAATTAAGTAGAGCTTAGTAAATTGATCATGTATAATTTGGCATATTTCCAACCATTAAATGTTTATAAAATGATCCTTGACTGTGAGGCAAATTTGTGACAATAGTCTAAAAGTAACTTCAGCAGCTACAAGCTGTCTGCAAATTACTTTTACTGACTTCACATTATACAATTGGTGAACAGTTTGTTTTGTACTAGTATTTTATGAATTTCAACCAGGCTCAAGTACGATTATATTTGCAATTTGCCAACAAAAGCAATCCATTGAACCATGTGCAATCAAATGGTATACATGCCTTGTATGACGTCTTTAATTGACATTAACATTATACATGTCCTGCTCTTCACAGGAAAAAGGTGGTATCTCCTTCACAGGTCTTTAACCAAGACTGGCTTTGGAATAGTTTTAAATCATATATTAAGTTACAACTCCCTCAATGTTCAGGCCTTTTAACTGGAGTGATGTAGTCATAAAATAATTGCATTTCAATGTTAACTTGTTGAAAATCAGCAATCAGGAGCATTTTCTGCTACTTTAAGCATAATAATTAACAACATAATTTAAAAAATATCAGGGATAAACACTTAACTACATGATAAAGAGGGAGGTGCAGCAAAATTTAGCGCTTTATTCCTCCCTTGCAGTTGATGTATAGGCCAATGATTTAATTTGCCACTGTTGAGAATATAAGTCTAGTTAGCATAATCGTAGAGAAAATTAACTTTCAGGCATATGAAATATTACATCTTGCATAAATATTTGGAGTACACTTTACGTTAAGATAAACTTAGATAAAGATCCAAACTAAAACAACTGGTGACTCTCTTACGTAAATCTCTAGGGAGGGTTTGTAGATAAACAGTGTGGCACTCCACACTCTGACTCAGAGTGAAAATGTATTAGTAATAGTAAAATTGAATTTATAGATGTCTTATTCCTCCATATAATTAAATGTTCAAATCTGTGGTACTGATATTTTAATCAAATAAACTTTACTCCTGAAGCTAAATGTTAAATTAGCTTACGTTATTTGAATTCCTTTTGAGATCAATAAAATATTTTTGAATTGAAATCTAACTTAAGGGTGTTGATACCAAATATAAGACAGTAAAACAGATAATAAAAAATACAGTATGTAGATCTAAATTTGATGCAACTACCCAAATACTCTAGCCAAAGCCATTTGAAGTTAAAGCCATCTGGGAGGATATTGCTGTTTTCTGGTTATGACCTCTGCCATTTTCTTCAGGAGCCCACTGTTCTGAAGACTTTTCTATAAAAATCTTCATTTCTATCCTCTTTTTGTTTGTTTTAATATTGTCACCAACCATATTCTCCACCCCTTCATCTGTCTGTCATACCTTGGTGCTCCCTACCGTCATAAATACTTCTTGTGATCCGGCCCTATTCTGGCTACAACAATGACTTTTAGTCAAAGGAAGTAAGTGTGTCCGTCTTGTCAATTCAATTACTTCATATCATGTTATTTTGGAATGAGTCTGATGCCTCTGTGTGTAGTCTCACCCCTTTTTTGAAAAGAAATGTATAAAGTATAACAACTTTTATTATATAGAAAGATGTTCAGATTCAACAGGCCTCAATTAAATGAAAGACATGTCTAATTATGTGTTACAAGCGTTCCTATCCAGTTGCATTCAGTTTTGTTTCTCACACTAAATTCAATATCACAAATGAAGAAATGTGAGAAATGCAAGAACAAGGCAGCTTCAAATACAGCCGAAAGCTTTCGGCTTATATGTTGAACAGGTGTTGATCCACATAAAGATACATCACATAAAGAGGGATTTAACAGTTATTAAAAACAGTCATTTGATACACAAATATCAGCATGTAGATGAATGCAAAGATTATGGTTAAAGAAAAAAATGTTATGACCACATGCAAAAATGAGAAGATCAAAGAGGAAATCTGATCATCAAAGAAAAATTTGCTACTACCAAAGGGAAAAATGCTAAAATCAGAGGGTAAGGCTAAATACCATTGCTGGAACAAACTCGTTTTGATCAAAGACAAAATTTCTTTGATCAGACATAATTATTATGATCAAAGAGAAAAATGTTATGAATAAAGGGAAACACATTTTAATCACAGACAAAATTGCTAAGATCAAAGAGGAAAATGCTAAAATGAAGGAGAAAGGCTAAATATGATTGTGGAACATAAAAATGCTTTGATCAACAACAATATTGCTTTGATCAAAGTGAGAAATGATAAGATCAAAGTGAAAATATTAACATCAAAGATAAAACTGCTATTATCAAAGGGAAAAATACTAAAATCAGGGGGAAACGCTGTATACAATTGTCGAAAACAAAAACGCTTTGATGAAATTAGAAAATGCTTTGATGAAATTCAAAAATGCTTTGATCAAACAAAATCTTAATATAATCAAAGTGAAAAAATATTATGATCAAAGAAAAAAAATCTTAACATCAAAGAAAATATTTGCTCTGATAAAAGAGAAAAATGCTTAAATAAGGGAGAAATTCTAAATATGACTGTCAAAAACAAAAAATCCTTTGATGAAATTCAAAAATGCTTTGAACTAAGAAAAAGTTTCTTTGATCAAAGTGAAATATGACAAGATCAAAGAAAAAAATCTTAACATCAAAGACAAAATTGCTCTGATCAAAGAGCAACAATGCTTAAATAAAGGAGAAAGGCTAAACACTATTGTCAAAAACAAAAAATCCTTTGATGAAATTCAAAAATGCTTTGATCTAAGAAAAAGTTTCTTTGATCAAAGTGAAATATGAAAAGATCAAAGAAAAAATTCTTAACATCAAAGACAAACTTGCTCTGATCAAAGAGAAAATGCTTAAAAAGGGAGAAATTCTAAATTTGCTGTCAAAAACAAAGAATCCTTTGATGAAATTCAAAAATGCTTTGATCTAAGGTTTCTTTGATCAAAGTGAAATATGAAAGATCAAAGAAAAAATCTTAACATCAAAGACAACTTGCTCTGATCAAAGAGAAAAATGCTTAAATAAGGAGAAAAGCTAATACTGTTAAAAACAAAAATCCTTTGATGAAATTCAAAAATGCTTTGATCTAAGAAAAAGTTTCTTTGATCAAAGTGAAATATGAAAAGATCAAAGAAAAAATTCTTAACATCAAAGACAAACTTGCTCTAATCAAAGAGAAAAATGCTTAAATAAGGGAGAAATTCTAAATATGACTGTCAAAACAAAAAATCCTTTGATGAAATTCAAAAATGCTTTGAAGAAAAAGTTTCTTTGATCAAAGTGAAATATGAAAGATCAAAGAAAAAAATTCTTAACATCAAAGACAAAATTGCTCTGATCAAAGAGAAAAATGCTTAAATAAGGAGAAATTCTAAATACTACTGTCAAAAACAAAAAATCCTTTGATGAAATTCAAAAATGCTTTGATCTAAGAAAAGTTTCTTTGATCAAAGTGAAATATGAAAAGATCAAAGAAAAAATTCTTAACATCAAAGACAAACTTGCTCTGATCAAAGAGAAAATGCTTAAATAAGGGAGAAATTCTAAATATGACTGTCAAAAACAAAAAATCCTTTGATGAAATTCAAAAATGCTTTGACTAAGAAAAAGTTTCTTTGATCAAAGTGAAATATGAAAGATCAAAGAAAAAATTCTTAACATCAAAGACAAACTTGCTCTGATCAAGAGAAAAATGCTTAAATAAGGGAGAAAGGCTAAATACTGTGTCAAAACAAAAAATCCTTTGATGAAATTCAAAAATGCTTTGAATCTAAGAAAAAGTTTCTTTGATCAAAGTGAAATATGAAAAGATCAAAGAAAAAATTCTTAACATCAAAGACAAACTTGCTCTGATCAAAGAGAAAAATGCTTAAATAAGGGAAAAATTCTGAATATGACTGCCAAAACCAAAAATTCTTTGATGAAATTCAAAAATGCTTTGATCTAAGAAAAAGTTTCTTTGATCAAAGTGAAATATGAAAAGATCAAAGAAAAAATTCTTAACATCAAAGACAAACTTGCTCTGATCAAAGAGAAAAATGCTTAAATAAGGGAGAAATACTAAATTTGACTGTAAAAACAAAAATCCTTTGATGAAATTCAAAAATGCTTTGATCTAAGAAAAGTTTCTTTGATCAAAGTGAAATATGACAAGATCAAAGAAAAAATCTTAACATCAAAGACAAACTTGCTCTGATCAAAGAGAAAAATGCTTAAATAAGGGAGAAAGGCTAAATACAATTGTCAAAAACAAAACATCCTTTGATGAAATTCAAAAATGCTTTGATCTAAGAAAAAGTTTCTTTGATGAAAGTGAAATATGAAAAGATCAAAGAAAAAATTCTTAACATCAAAGACAAACTTGCTCTGATCAAAGAGAAAAATGCTTAAATAAGGGAGAAATACTAAATTTGACTGTCAAAAACAAAAATCCTTTGATGAAATTGAAAAATGCTTTGATCTAAGAAAAAGTTTCTTTGATCAAAGTGAAATATGAAAAGATCAAAGCAAAAATTCTTAACATTAAAGACAAACTTGCTCTGATCAAAGAGAAAAATGCTTAAATAAGGGGGAAAAGGCTAAATACTATTGTCAAAACAAAAAATCCTTTGATGAAATTCAAAATGCTTTGATCTAAGAAAAAGTTTCTTTGATCAAGTGTGAAATATGAAAAGATCAAAGAAAAAATTCTTAACATCAAAGACAAACTTGCTCTGATCAAAGAGAAAAATGCTTAAATAAGGGAGAAATTCTAAATATGACTGTCAAAACAAAAAATCCTGATGAAATTCAAAAATGCTTTGATCTAAGAAAAAGTTTCTTTGATCAAAGTGAAATATGAAAAGATCAAAGAAAAAATTCTTAACATCAAAGACAAACTTGCTCTAATCAAAGAGAAAAATGCTTAAATAAGGGATAAATTCTAAATTTGACTGTCAAAACAAAATCCTTTGATGAAATTCAAAAATGCTTTGATCTAATAAAAAGTTTCTTTGATCAAAGTGAAATATGAAAAGATCAAAGAAAAAATTGTTAACATCAAAGACAAACTTGCTCTGATCAAAGAGAAAAATGCTTAAATAAATTCTAAATAGACTGTCAAAACAAAAAATCCTTTGATGAAATTCAAAAATGCTTTGATCTAAGAAAAGTTTCTTTGATCAAAGTGAAATATGAAAAGATCAAAGAAAAAATTCTTAACATCAAAGACAAACTTGCTCTGATCAAAGAGAAAAATGCTTAAATAAGGGAGAAATTCTAAATTGACTGTCAAAAAAAAAATCCTTTGATGAAATTCAAAAATGCTTTGATCTAAGAAAAAGTTTCTTTGATCAAAGTGAAATATGAAAAGATCAAAGAAAAAATTCTTAACATCAAAGACAAACTTGCTCTGATCAAAGAGAAAAATGCTTAAATAAGGAGAAAGGCTAAATACTATTGTCAAAAACAAAAAATCCTTTGATGAAATTCAAAAATGCTGATCTAAGAAAAAGTTTCTTTGATCAAAGTGAAATATGAAAAGATCAAAGAAAAAATTCTTAACATCAAAGACAAACTTGCTCTGATCAAAGAGAAAAATGCTTAAATAAGGGAGAAATTCTAAATATGACTGTCAAAAACAAAAAATCCTTTGATGAAATTCAAAAATGCTTTGACTAAGAAAAAAGTTTCTTTGATCAAAGTGAAATATGAAAAGATCAAAGAAAAAATTCTTAACATCAAAGACAAACTTGCTGATTAAAAAGAAAAATGCTTAAATAAGGAGAAAGCTAAATACTATTGTCAAAAACAAAAAATCTTTGATGAAATTCAAAAATGCTTTGATCTAAGAAAAAGTTTCTTTGATCAAGTGAAATATGAAAAGATCAAAGAAAAAATTCTTAACATCAAAGACAAACTTGCTCTGATCAAAGAGAAAAATGCTTAAATAAGGAGAAATTCTAAATGACTGTCAAAAACAAAAATCCTTTGATGAAATTCAAAAATGCTTTGATCTAAGAAAAAGTTTTTTGATCAAAGTGAAATATGAAAAGATCAAAGAAAAAATTCTTAACATCAAAGACAAACTTGCTCTGATCAAAGAGAAAAATGCTTAAATAAGGGAGAAATTCTAAATTGACTGTAAAAACAAAAATCCTTTGATGAAATTCAAAAATGCTTGATCTAAGAAAAAGTTTCTTTGATCAAAGTGAAATATGAAAAGATCAAAGAAAAAATCTTAACATCAAAGACAAACTTGCTCTGATCAAAGAGAAAAATGCTTAAATAAGGGAGAAAGGCTAAATTTGTCAAAAACAAAAAATCTTTGATGAAATTCAAAAATGCTTTGATCTAAGAAAAAGTTTCTTTGATCAAGTGAAAATGAAAAGATCAAGAAAAAATTCTTAACATCAAAGACAAACTTGCTCTGATCAAAGAGAAAAATGCTTAAATAAGGAGAAATTCTAATACTATT